CCCCCCCAAATGATAGGGTAGGAGGAGGCCCTAAAATGGTTTTAACACTTCCGCTAATTATAGGGTGGGCGGGGTGAGGCCTGGAGTCTGCCCAGGCATTTAAGGGGGTCCCTAAAACGGCTTTAACCCCCTCCCCTTAAAATCATTGGTGGGTGGAGTGAGTGTTGGAGCCTGCTCAGGCACTTAAGGGGACTCTAAAATAGTCTTAGGCCGCCCCCCCCAAATTGTAGGGTGGGGGAGCCCTAAAATGGTCTCAGTCCCCTCAAATGGTAGGGTGGGCAGGATAAACCCTGGAGCCTGCCCAGGCATTTAAGGGGTGCCTTAAAACAGCATTAACCCCCCCATCATAGGCTGGGTGGGATGAGCCCTGGAGCCTGCTCAGATCCTTAAGGGGACCCCTAAAATGGCCTTAACCAGCCAAAATCATAGGGTAGGTGGGGGGAGTGCTGGAGCCTGCTCAGGCATTTAAGGGGGCTTCTAAAATGGCCTGATTCTTCCCCCACCCCTTTCAAATCATAGGGTGGGTGGGATGAGGCCTGGAGTCTGCCCAGGTGTTTGTAAGGGGGCTTTTTTTACCCCCCTCCTCTCCCCTTTGCAGGGAGCAGCTGGCAGGGCTCAGGCCTGGTCATGTTTTCCACTCTGAACTCGGTGGAAAGAAGGGGGGAAAAGTGAACAGCCAGAAAGTGGGTTGCTAAGTGTCCCCCATTGCAGGTCTGGGCTCAGTGCCCACTGTGGGAGAAGGGGGATCTTGGCGTTGGAAAAGAGAAGCCGGCAGGTGCGCTGGGTGCGGGCAGCCATCTTGGTGCTGGGCAGCTGGTGAGGCCGGTGCAGGCTGAACTCAGACAATAGTAGCATGAGAAACATCTCTGCTGCTGCTTGGGCATCAAGGCCACGTCCTCTTGACTAAAAGCAAATAGCCTTTTTTGTTAAACTGGCTGGCTTTTAACACCTGGTTGTGGGCTTGCTCCTGCTTCTCTCTGAGCTCCTCCAACATAGCAGGCAGGGTCGATTGACACGTCATAGACAAACGGAAGTAGACTAGGCACCAGCTTTCTTCAACTGGGATGGCAGAAAAAACATGAAGTTACTGTCAGCTGACCAGTGCTTTGCAGTTTCTTTGTAGCTGGTGGCACAAAGAAATGTGATGAAACATTAATCTTTTAAAAGAAGGAAAAGGGAGAATATCTCTTCTGCTCTTAGATTTTTGAAAATAAGCTTATGGAAAACAAAACTTGTGCACAGTTAACTCCTTTAAATTGGTATTAAACGGTTACACTCAAAATATATCTCTTTAAAAAAAAAATGGGGTGGGGGAGTTCCTTGTGTTCTCAGCTCAGATAAATTAGATCAGTCACTTTTTTTACTTTTTTTTTCTACTTTCTACTTCTGATATTTTGCTTCTTACTGGCTTACACAGTGGAAAACATTTATTTTCCAAGACTTCAGTTTGTGGTTGTAAAATAACAACTCAGAGGAAATCATATTGGGTCATCCAGGCCATCTTGCCAATTTAGCATTACGCCATACTTAACTCATCTTTCTAAAGTACAGTGCTGTTAAAATATTGCAGCAAACAATGCATGGAGATATTTAATTTAAACAGAGCTATTACAGACATTTAAAATACCCTGTTAAGGTGGAAAGATTACTTTTATAAAACCACAGGACAGTGGCCCTCTGAAAAGTTCAGCATTGTGTTAAAATCCGTTCTAAAAATGTAACTTTGAACAGCTTTTTAAAATGTAATGCTTGCAGGTGGGGGGGAGTGGGAGGGGTGTGTGTGTCCAAAACTGTTGCATCCCATAATTTATTTAAAAATTACTTTGTTTTGGAAACATCATAAAGTCCATCTTTGCCAAGGGGCTTTGCTATAGTACTGGAGATGTTTCTTCTGAACTTTCAAAATAGTGTCTTCAATCCTTTTTTTAAACTTACCTAGTTTCAGTATTCATATTTTAGGACTTAATCTGTAACTTATTCAAAAGACTTTGTTTAAAGCCCATTTTTCCTTATAAATATCTTTTCACTTGGCCAGCAGTAATGTTTATAATAGTCTTTATGGAAGAAGTGTTTGTATCTACTGCAGTATTTTAAAATTTATTCAGTTTCATATCATTTCTGTCCTGCCTGATGACTGATAGATAGATAGATAGATAGATAGATAATAAAACTGTATCTGAATTCATTTTTTGATAATAACAAAACATGTTCGTTCTGAAATCATCAAGCAAAATAGCTTACTCATTTTACATTTCTATAAAACATAAGATTTATTCTCTATACACTCCATCTAAATGAAATAATTGATGTAATCAGCTGTGTGTTTCTGTGTGCAGAACTAGAATTCAGAACACATAATCATAATTTTTCTGCAGTTTTATTGTAAGAGACTTTTCGTGCTTTATCCTTTTTTAACGTATACAAGTACCATTTGTTTCAAACAACTTTATACAATAGGGAAGACTACTTTGCTAAAATCTTTGTAGCTGCCTGTTATGGACTTAGAAATGACAGTTCCATATCTCACTTTTCTGGTTCATTTTACAGTTTTTTCCTTGTGGGGGCCCACAGTGTCACTGCATACAGAAGTTTTACTTCAGGGTGACTCGGACTTGATCATTTTAAATACCTTCTTTTTTTCAGAAAGGGTTAAAACTTGAAGATCCATAAGTCTTTCATAAAATGAGAACTTAATTTAGTATTGCCAGGCATATTGTTTATGAATTCCTTGGAGGACAAGCCTTCTTCCCCTCCTCTCCTTCCCCCCCACCATTATTGTAAAAGTCTCAGTCCTTTTACATTGCAACATGGCAGCTTCCTTGTAGTGGGGAGAGAGTTCAGTTATAATTTAGCTTGGTTTCTCAGGTGATAAGTTTCTCAAACCTGACATTCTTTGCAGCCTTGTCCTGTCACATGCTTCTTGGAAAGTGAATCTGTGTTTTTCCTAACTCTTGTCTTTGGCTGCTTACCTTCCTTGATGCCTTCTGCGAGAACCCTGCTAGCTTTCTTTCAGTCTTTAATGACTTTCCCAGTGTCCCAAGGTACAACTAGTACTTTATACACTTCTTACCACTATACCACTGTGGTTATAAAAGACATGGAAGTCTCAAGTTTTTTGGATAGGTAGTACTGTTCCTGCTACATTTGGAAATAGAAAACAAAAATGACTGAATAGAAATGACTTAATCATGTTGTAAAAATTACCACGCCCAGATGTTCATCTGTAACCATTCAGAGTCAAGTCTTGGCTCGTCATATGCTGTAATTACTTTCCTAATTTTCATTTAAAATTAAGCTACAGCATGATGACACCTTGTTTACTTGGACAGCATTTTACTTTTATGTAGCAACACTGCATAAAGACCTGGAGGGTGATTACTGAGTAACTTTTGCAAAATGAATAAAAGTACTTCAGTGTGTGTACATGCACATTCTAGTGGAGTATTTTTTCTGTTTTGGATCAGAAGAACCAAGTAACAAATGGCCTACAGTAAGTCGACAAACTCAAGACAATTGATGCTAACTGATTTAAATTGTTCTTTGTGTAAAGAGCAGTAACCATTTTGGAGGAAGGGAAAGCATCTTTCTACGTTGTCACTGAGGAATCCTAATGGAAATGGACTTCTTGCTACTTGAGAAACTCATCTGAATGCAGTTGGATCATGTAACAGTAGTCTGAATCAATCATTATGTAACTATTTGCACAGCTGTCATTTCCAAAGGCCTGGAATGGGACTGGTGCTGCTTTCATGCTGCTCTGTACCAGTGCATTCTCATAAGGCATTTTGGAAAGTTTAGTTGAGGCAGGATTTGACCATTGATGATTGGTTAAGAGCAGCAACAACAACAAACCACACAACAGAACAAAATGGGGGAGGGACGGGGAAGGTGATGATAAAGTCCCATATTTACACAGAATAGTGACATCTATGGTGTTATGATTCTGAATTGCTTGTTTTTTCTAAAAAGTCTAATATCAGAAATCTCCCTTACTCAGTAGAGTACTGTTGCCAAATACAGTATATGTAGAAATGTGCTACTTAGTAGTCTTCAGGACAGAGGACTTGCTGACTTTTATAAATAGCTAGTACTGTATACATTTCAGCTTGAATGTGTTCATACATGCACACCACAGCAGTGAATACAGAAAGTGTGCTGAGCCCCTGAGAGACTAAATTAACTAGGAAAGAAGCAATCTAAAGCTTCCAGCTTGTAGGCATAAGAATAACTGCAGCAGTTCCTTTCAGTTCCTGACAGGTCGGTTATTGAGTTGGAAGCTTCCGGTCTAGGAGACTCAGTGACTGAACTCAGCCTCTGTTTCTTGTCCTACAGCAAAGAGCGTTCAGCCTTAAAAGGGAATGGCTTCTCCAGTTTAGTTGGAACCTGTCAGTGTTCCCCCAGCAGCCAGGGAATCCCATTGAGAGCTAGGAAGCCCATTGAGACCTAGGAAATCAAAATCTACCTTGAAGTAACAGAACACTGAAAAGATGCACCCTATAGATGGAATACAACTTCTGTGGCGTGTTGCCTAAAATTATTAGTTGAAGCAGTTTCCTGAGTTAATCTTGTAGGGAAGGGCAGTGGAAATGAGAT